GCTAAGTTGATAATCATTGTTGATGGAAAAGTGTACTAAGAATCACTGTGCTTTTCAACAACAAATGTTGGCGAGGGTGTGGAGAAAAAGGAACTCTTCTGCACTGTTGGTGGGAGTGCAAACTGGTCCAACCACTGTGGAGAGCTGTGTGGAGATTTCTGGACCTACTAAACATAGAGCTTCCATATGATCCAGCCATTCCACTCCTAGGTATTTACCCAAAGGACACAGAAACATCAATTCCAAAGAGCACCTGCACCCCTATGTTTATAGCAGCACTGTTTACAATAGCTAAGCTTTGGAAACAACCCAAATGCCCAAAAATAGATGACTGGATCAAGAAGATGTGGTACATATATACCATGGAATATTACTCAGCATTCAAGAAAGATAAACACATGCAATTTGCAGCAACATGGATGGCGCTGGAAGGGATCATGCTCAGCGAAATAAGCCAAAAAGAAAAAGAAAAATACCGGATGGTCTCACTCATAGCAGGAATCTAGAAAACTTAAATAAGGGACCAGGAAAATGAATAACTATAAGAAAGTGAAAATCAAAATCAACAAAAAACTATGAACCAGAGACACTTTTAGGGGGGCGGGGGCGGGAGGGGAGGGATTGGGGTCAGAATGGGGGGGCTGCAATTGTATGGGAAATATAAAAATAAAATTTATTATTTAAAAAAAAAAGAATCACTGTGCTTTTGATTGAAAATGTTTGACATTTCTTTCCCATTAATTTGTGCTTATATGATTGTAATATGATGCCCTTTGACATATGCTGGCATGCTTCTTTTTTGTTTTAATTGTTGCTGTGCTATAGCTTTAGCTTCTATGCATTAGTTGTGAGCTTTAATTGAAATTTTGATCAGGGTTTTTTTGGTGACTTTGTTGTATTTTTATCTCTGATACTTCACAGGAAGTTTGGCATATTAAAGTGGGTTGTTTTTGAAACTTTATAATTATCAATGTTTGTGACTCAGATGTAATAAATAATGGCTTTTAGGATGCTTTTTGAATCATTGGTATCCTCCACTATCTTTTATACACCCGTAATACTATCATTTGTGATATAAAATGTATATGTATCTTCGTGACTGAGGTACTTTTAAAAACATATGGATAAATAACTGAATGTCATTTTTAAACTAAAGTTATACATTTGCCAATATTTTTCTCCCTTAAATCAAAAAGGAAAGGGAAATATACTCCAAGTTTTGATTTTTTATATAGCTTTAATCCTATATTCTGGCTTCTTTTCAACTCTGAGCAGATAAGACTTTGTCTTCTTATTCTCGTTAACCTTTATTCTTATTCTTCTTATTTAACCTTTATTCTAATTCTTTTTGACCTTTGTTTTCTCTTGTCTTTCCTTTATTTTCTTGAGGAAGTTTTGGAATAGGAACATGATCTGGGTTGAAATTGAGCAGAAATTATTTTAAAATTTTAGCTTAATTTCAACATTGATTTATTTTACAAAAAAGTGTATATCTATGCTATAGCAGGTGACATTTTGAGAAAGAGCTTAAGGATATCCTTTCGATATATCACAATGTTAATAACTCATTAAACGTACTATTCCTCATCTCTTTACATGTAAACAATTACACCTGTCACTCATATAAAATAAAAAGAGCATAGTATTTTATATTTCAGGACTTTCTAGCTCATATTTTTTTAAAAAATCATGGAATGAAAAATAACATTTTTGAAAAATAAAGCTTCTGTGATAAGTGCTTATATGAATATAAATGCTAACCACTAGAAACAAATTGGGGCAACTATGTAAATAAGTTATTTATTACTCTTTTGATGAAGGTAATGCATTGCATATCCTTTAATAGTTTCAGGAAATTGAATAAAATATGCTTTTACTATATGGTAGTAATAAACTAAGAAAATCAAAACAAAAGCATTAATTGTAAGTTTGACAAGAGAGTTGGAAGAGGGTAGTATAAAGACCTAAAGAATTAAAAATTTCATAAGCACTTTTAAACCAAAGAAGATGAACATTATGTTCTCTACTGAAAGAACGGAATATTTCTCCATTTCTGTAAATCAGTTAAAATAGATACACTCATAATGGAGTGTGTACATTTGCTTTAATACCTTATGGCAGAGGTGACATTGATGAATGTATCTATGGACGAATGATCCTGAAATGAAACATCTCATGACCTGCAGGTGTTTCCACACTGCCTTACACTTGCTTGGGGTTGTAATTGCTATTTTCAGTTTGTCTGTGAATTATACACCTTTGCTAAAATTGAATCTTGCTCCTTTCACATCGCTGCTATGTGCCAACATGATCTTCCAGGGCATTCATGGGTAGCTGTCTTTGTCTTGAAATTGTAATTCAGGATATCTAGATAATATTTGTTTCTTCAATTCACTACCCCAAACCTCCATTGCCTTATTTCAAATTTATTTAAAATGCTGAGTTTTCTGATAATGTTTTAGTCACATTTCAGTTGAAGTGGAATTGAGTTTTTGATTGTCATGAAAGCTGTATGAATATAATTTTTGCAAATCATATTTTTGCTATCAAATCTCATTTTTTTTTACTTTAGTAATATTTAGCCCAATGAATTTGCATGGGAATTCACAAGACAGCGAGCAAAAGACTTGCAAGTCTCTTGCTCTGGAGACATTTAATTAGACCCAAATTTGGAAATGATTTGAAAAGCATCTATCATTTCTGTTGATTATGTAATGCCATTCTGGTCAACATCAAATATTGGATAATTTCATACTGAACAAAGAGAAATTGATGTCATTTTATATTTATGACTATATATTAATTTTTAAAAATATTGTTAAGCATCCCCTTTATTATCAAGTACAATATAATTTATTCTTTCAACTCTAATTTTATGGCATACTAAGAGTCTGCCCTTTCTGACTAGTATTTAAGTATTATTATTAATTTTTGCAAATGTCTTTCTTGATTTGTGCTTTCGTAGTTGCAAATTCAAAAGTATCTCAGATTATCACTTTGTTAATATGGTCTAAATAAATTTATTTATTATGTTCAATGTTGTGACATTAGGCAATAGCACTTGATAGGAAATGTTAAATCACTTCACATGGAAAAAGTTAACTTTAAAAAAAATTAATTATGTTTATTTATGTTGGAATATTGATAATTTCTAGTAAAGGAGCTTTCTTTGGTATATATCTTATGCTAGTCCATAGACCCTCAATCTGCAGCTTTATTATTTTCCCTTTATATAATATATAAAATAATTACGCTAAATGAACAAGTAAAATTTACTTTGAAAATCTGATGTTCAGCCCTAATAATAAAGATTACAGGTTTTTCCCACTACATGAAAGTAGACCATTCCCATAAATTCTTTAATATGCCCAAATGGTGTAAAGTGAAGAAACAATTACTGTTGATTTATATGAGAAAAAATCTGAGCATTTGCAGATTCAAAAATTGACCTATCAGATCATACCAAATAACATGTATAAACCTAAAACAGAGCTAGTAATAAAATCGTATAGAGTAAAAGTTGGAATATGCTAAATATACAGCTTATATAATATGGTTTCTGGGGAGAGGGCATAGCGTATACTCTTCCTGCTCTGGGGTCATGTACTCCCTCTAGACAGCTGCAAAACAGATGCTGAATGGTATTTTCAATTTGTGTCTTTCACTGTAAAAGCAAAGATTCTTTTTAGATTTCTTTCAGTTGGTGAAAACAAGTACTAATATAGGTCATTAAAAGTAAAATAGTATCAAATAAATTTGAAAATTGGGGAATAACTACATTGACTAAATAACTGCAAGTTTGCTCATAGAGCTGAGTCCTCTAGCTTAGCTGCATACCCGAAGGGGGAAAAAAATGGCATTTACATGTTGAGGGGAAAGGGAAAGATGGCAGTTATACACATTAGAATGATGTGTACTCTATACAAGGGATACTCCCCACATACATTTTCCATTTCAGGCACATTTGTGTACTTATTATATGCTACACTCTTGGGATATATTGGTGAATAAGAAAGGTATAGAACTGGCTGTCTAGAGTTTAGAGTCCACTGGAAGAATCAGACAAACATATAATAAATAATGTTAAATAATGATAAATAATGACAAATCACAGTGACTGCTGTCAGGAGATGACAGAGGAGAATGTACAAGTGACTAACCTGAAGGAAAATCCTCTCTGAATAGGTGACTTTAGTCTGAAGGGTAATGGTTAAATTTGCAAAGAGGGAGAGAGAGCTGTTTGGATTGAAGACAAAAGCTGGTATTAAAGAGTGGAAGAAATGGGGGATGGGCCAGTAGACCTTATAGCTAGAGCACATTGAGGGAGGAGGACATAAGTGAGGTAAGAGAGGGAGGCCAGGAGATTAGCTGGTGCACATCTAAACATATCTATATCTATATGTATCTGTACACATACGCACATGTGACTTTAGAAACAATGTAATTATTCAACTATTTTTATGATTCTGAAAACACCTTTAAGTGTCATTATTTTACATGTTATATGAATGTATGGTTTAAATCCCTTTAAAAGTCAATATTTACACTAACACGTATGAATGAAACCTTTTCCACAATACTATACCCTCCACCTTACATGCACCAACCTGTCAAGGTCTATTTAAAGAATTATTTTCCAATAAAAGATTGCTTCATTATGAGAAGCAGCAGTGCAAGAAATTTCCTTTAATGTCTCTATTTTTCACTTTCTTTAAAAGCCTTTCTTAAGTTAAAGAAAATTCCCTGACACTGAAAGCAGAACTGTAACATGAGCACATGTGAACACATACGTATAATACACATTCATTTTTCCTCCCAGATCTGCAAGAAGGAAATGAAGCAACCTGTGAAATGAATTAAAATGCTTGTCACCTACTAGATTGTGGGCAGAGGGCAGTCTTTAAGACCCAGCAGCATAGTATTTGTCTAGAGAGGAAATGTTGCTTTTTGACAGATGAGAGAAATCCCCTTAGTGTTGGCTGTGGGAAGACAGAAGTGAAGTCAGTCACCTGGTGGTGAAGGCCAGTAAAACAGCAAAGCCTGAGGAAAATTTTTCTCTCTCTCACTGGTGCTCTCTCTCTCTTTTTTCTCTCCTCTGTAGGATCCACCTCCTATTCTCTCAACTCTTTTTAGCATAACCTTCAAAGGAGAACGTTCCCTTCAGACTTTATTATCTTCTTTTCCCCACTGAGAGAATACCTCTTAGCTGCAAGACATTTTTTAAGTCTATGCAGGACTTTGGGGATTTGGTTATCTTGCCAGGGAAATTGATCATTGCTAATGCTGGGGACTCACAGTGTGCTAAATTAGCTAGCAGAGTAAGCCTGGCGGAGGAAGGCTTTTATCATATACTCTTCTCTTCAGTTTGAACACATTTGCTTGAAATTTGCCGCATGATGCTGTCCAGGGAAGCAGCTTTTTTCCTTGGGATGCAGCAATTCGCTGGTTTCTAAGCTTATTGCAGAAGAAAAAAATAATCTTAAATAGAGTGGATTTCCCCCTCTGCTTCATTCGACCGAGCTGTGTTGCACCGCGGTAAAGATCACCTGTCAAAAATCTTTGAAGAAGTAAAACAAAGTGAATTATAATTATTATTTATTTATTTTTATTATTTTTAACCGGTGGAGGCGGCGTGATCACGAAGAATGAGACTGAGAGAGGCTGCCAGGGCTTGGAGGAGGATAAAGCTGAGTTTAGGTTGGAAACTAAAAGACTAGATTGTTTTTTGGTACAACTTGCCCGGTTCCTCTCCACTTCCTTCAGTTTCGCTCCATGGACAGATCAACAAACCTGGACGTTGAGGAGCTCAAGGTACGTGATCCTTCGCGGCGGGTGTCTTCTTTTCTCGCTCTCGCCTGCTCTCTTCCTCTGCTCTTTATTTCGCTGCCTTTTCCTTGCGCTGTTAGAATAGTTGGTGGCCCCGTGGGACGGCGAGTGGGCATTTGGGGTGAAGTGTACCCGAGCGCAGGCGCCCCTCCTAGGGCCGAGGACAGGCAAGGAAGCTTTCTGGAGCTCGGCTCGTGCTCTCAGGCTGGGCTCCCCTCCCTGCCTGCTCCTCCTGACAACAGTCACCCTCTCCTCCTCCTCCCCAGTTACTGGAGCACTTTGGGTACCACACCAGGCGCCCGGAGCCCGCTAGCCTCAGCCTGGGAAGCGGTGGCGGCAGCCGTCTCTGCTCGCTGTGTCCTGGTTACCCCGCAAAGTTGCCGGGGCTGCGCGGCCACTTTGCCACCGCTCCCGAGCTCGGGGTCCGCTTCTCCCCCCGCCCCCACCCCGCCCCGGGCACAGCCTATTTCCACTAGGTGATTTGCGTTACAGAGGCAACTGGGGCGACTGCTGCTTTTTATTTCTGCACTTAAGGAGACCCGTGTCTCCCACGACCGCTAACACGGTCTCACCCGCAGCTGCATTGTCCCTGGGCGCGAACTCGCGTGGCCCGGGGGCCCGGCTGCAAGTGAAGGGACTGGAGAGGCTGCCCGCCGGCCGGGCCACGGCGGCGCCGCGCACGCCAGGCTTGAGCACCACCGCGCCGAAAGGGTCTGGGGAAGTGCAGAGCCGAGCCGACTGGGAGCGGGTTCGGGCTGCTCACGGCCGGGTGGGGGTGGAGTGGGATGGGGGCGGGGCGGCACCTCCCCCACCTCCCCCAACGTGCCCGCGGGGCGGCGCGTGGTCTGGGACCCGCGCGGCGCCCGGCGTCCCCCTGCAGCTTGTTGGGGAATCCTCGCCTCGCCTTTTTTCCCCCCCAGTCTCTGGCTCAGCCGCAAGGGTAGGAGCGTCCAAGCTGACAGTTTGCCCCAGTGCCTGTGGGCAGTGCCATCTGCAGTCCTTAAAAGAAAAAAAAGAAAAGAAAGAAAACTTAAGAAAAAACCAAACCATAAAATAATTTAAATGTCCCGCTCACTGTACATGAAAAAGCGGTGAAGGGGGCGAGGCTGGGCACATCCTGTCCTTTGATTTTCCACCCCTTTTTACTCCTGGACATATGCTACTTTCATATTTTTCAGAGGTGGTGGTGGTTATTATTATTATTATAGATATTCAATTCAGATGGACTCTGTTCAACCTGGAGGACTTCTAGGCACCTTTTACCCACTGAGAAAACTTGGCTACTAAAGGTTTGTTCTGATATGTCAGGGAAATGGGTTTGCCCAGTAAGTTTACAAGGCTACTGAAGTCCCCTGTAGAGGGCAAAAGCTGACTTGCAGACTGTCCTCTGCCCTGACCACAGTGTACCCAGCTGAGCCCAGTGCTCTTGGAATGTGGTCTCCAGATCTGCTGGTTTTCTAAATTGCATAAAATAAAGGAGAGAGAGTAGAGAACTGTGGCATATGTTGGAATGGCCTTTGCTATGGACTGTAAATGAAAGTGGAGTCCAGGGAAGATGATCTGAAGAACTTAGTCACCACTACATTTGAGACTGGTTTGAAGAAGTGGTGTTTGGAGGAGGCATATTTGGTGCTCCAGTTAGAGTTGGGAATAACAAGTATCTGTGTTATGGCCAATGTCAGAATTAGTAGACCTTGGCCTGGATAGAGGTATCCAATATCTCCTATTGTCTGTCTAAGATGTCAAATTAGGATGCATTATCTGTGTACTTGAAAGTATCCCTGGCTGCCTTTTCCCAAGCAATCCAATCTGTGGGGGGAGAGTAGTAGGTTATTTGAGATGCAAAGAAGAATACTTGAACAATGTTTGTGATATATGTATCATGCAGAGACAGTTTCCAGATTATTATTATTATTATTATTATTATTATTATTATTAAAGCTTAGGGTATGGCACAGTAGAAAGTTCTTTCTTTGGAGAAATGGAGAAGAAAATGATTTGAAGTGATCGTTTCCCCTGATCCCACTAGTTTTCTATTAGCTTATTCCCCTCTGAACCCTGACACTATTAAATTTTTTAAATCAGTAAAAGAGCAAAACCATTGTGGAAACTTCAGTTTTGTTTAGTAGAAGATCTCAGCTTAACCCTCAAACAACTACACATTAATTCAGAGATTCTCACAGCCAGGGTGTGCTAGACTTTGCGTGGAGAAGTAGCACAGGGTGGAAACTGGAAAGGCTTAGCATGAGAGAGTGGATTGGCAATGACTGACTGGAAGAAAAGAAGGAATATTAGAAGCAAAGATCTTTTGAGGTTGCTGAAAAATTTTGTCAGGGGTAGCGACTGTTGACAGTCAAAACTGACAAGACCAGAGAGGTAGTCAAACTTTATTAGAAAATGTTTGAGATCCTCCAATTTGAGAAGTAAATTTGTATTGTCAGGTTTGATTACACTTCTGGAACATAGAGGCTTTGAAATACTTACACTTTGGAATAAATACACTTCATAGACACAGGTGTACTCCAAGTGGAATAACTTGTCAGTATTTCCTCTCATCAGCAGAATCCTTTACCTTAGATTTTCTAGATAATTGAACAGACCCCGATATGGTCAATGGGTAGAGGAGGAAAAATGGGGGATACTTATTTTTGGTATTGTTTGCCTATTGATTTTTCATCCTGTGAGTCAAGGATCCTTAAGCTAAGGCAAATCTAAATAAAAATTTTAGTTGCTATGATGTTTTAAATACATGGAAAGAAAAATAATGCTTACTGCCATTTGATATATAAATGCATATAATAATGTTCAAGAATACTGTGGTAACTTAGTTTTACATCATATCTGTTATTATTAGGTATAGTTGCTTACTCCAGTTTTCAAGGAGGAAAATTCTGCTCATTCTCTTAGTTTGCAGGAAATTATTTTCCTTTTATGGGATTCTAGCAAAGAATTTCTTTTTTGCTATGCTGGATGTGTTGACATTGATTTTTATATGTTGTTCAGTAAATAGTGTTGTCTTTTGTAAGTTTTTAAACTAATGATAAGTTTCAAGAATGACATGTTAATCCATTGTTAACATAATGCGAAACATAATATACATATTAAAAGATTCTGGTGGAAGCTAAGATATAGTTATATATATAGTTATATATATATAGTTATATATATATATATATATAACTTACTAATGAAGGCAAGCATGTTTCATCTTCCTTTCTGCACACAAGCCCCTGATGAAACAGATCAGTCTTGAAAAGGAAGAGAGCTCTCATCCAAAAAATTTTGGTCTGTTTTTTTTCCCTTTGATCTCTATTGGTTTCTTTCTTCAATAAATGTATAAACTTTACTCTGAATTTTTCCCCGGTGTTTGTTTAAAGAAGAAACAACATCAAACAACCCAAAATATGGGTTAGTGCTTTGGCAATGTGGGTGTTAATGAATATTGATGTTAGAGAAAGCACCCTCTATCCTCGAACATCTGAGTTATAGAGCACATTGAGTAGTTGATATTTAAAATAATAACTTTAGCTCTGTAGTTGTCCTTTTAAAACTACGTATCTTATACACTAGAACAGAAAATGCCACTAATTTTTAGAACTGACACTTAATTTTGCTTTTGTAGCTTTTATAAAAGATATCGAATCTGAATAAATGGTAATTTTTAGTAGTATATATGACTTAATGCATATGACTCCATGATTCTTTTTCTCAACTTTTTGAAATATGGCTCTTAATTGCCTGTATTAATTTTGCAATCAAGAAATCATGCTTTCGGTTGTTAACCATATATTTGTGTATAATTGTAGTTTGCTTGGGAATCAAAAACATAAAATTCATTAAGAGTATAGTAAGTACAGCTTTTTCAGTACTATACAATTCCAGCCTTTATTTATTCATTTGTCAGGATTGGTTCTTTAATGACATAAATGGCTAGAAGTAAAAATGGAATTTTTCCATTGGTTGCAGAAATAAATAATATATTATGGAAATATTTTCTGAATTTGCAAAAATGTGATAAACTACATAGTTAACACTGGGATGCATGAAAAGCTTTTTGATAACTATAACTGAACTTGTTTAAGTTAACTACTAGCAGTCCAGTCACGTTGTGTAATTTTATCTCTTTAATTTAAATAAAATTTTATCTGCAAAGAACTTGAAACATGCCCCAGATCAGCCAGGAGAAAGCTTCCTTGAATAATACAATTAGGTCATTAAGTTAGTATTGCATGGGTGATAAATGATATTCAAGCAAAAAAAAATGCATAGGTGTTTAAACAACTGTTGATTAAAAAATGTTGAGGTCTGAAACCAAGTTTACAGTACATTCATCTACAATTTCCAACAAATAAGAGAGTTGGTGCTTAGAATGAGTTCTAAAAATGTTTTTACCTATTTCATCAATAAGGCACAACTCATGAAAGTCAGGCTTACTGAAGTGAGGAGGCTTGTGATGAGTTTAAGTAGGTACTTTTTTTTTTTTATGTTAGTCATTCTGTAGTGAAAAATAGTACTCTCTAACAAATGTCATATTTTTAGCAACCTGCCTTATACACTCATTTCTTGGCTTCGAATAAGAAACATATTTGTGACTACTGAATTATTTGACCTCTTTCACATCTAAGGAAATTATAACTTCTTTCCATCCAGATCAGGTTCCAATTCTCTCGATAACAGGAGCCAGTCATCAAGATGTAGAATTAACCTTGATTTCTTAATATTCAGAATACAGACTTATTTAATTAAACTTGAAATAAACAGTAGCGAGACATTCTTTTTTATATAAAGACAGGAGAGATAAAGAACATGTTTGACCTAAGTGGCAAGAAAATTAAGAAGCACATATTTAAGGGTAGTAGAACAAATGAATATTTTAGAAATCGTCAATGTCCTGCTATCATCACTATGCATATATTCCAGTCTTTGTATTGGATATTACAGCTTCACTGATCTCCAAATATATCAAATTTCTTAGGTCCAGTAAG